TATGATTGTTGGGTTTTTCTCTGTATCTATGAAGCGCCTTGAGGCGACTTTTGTTGTGATTTGGCGCTATATAAATAAAATTGAATTGAACTGAATTGAAAAAAAGAGCTGACAGGGAGACTGTAGCTCGTTTAGTTCATCCAGCAAACACGTTCTTATTACCTGTGACATTGAGACCATCCGAACGCTCACACCAGACGTGCCGAGACGAGCCTCTCCATGGTCCAGATTTCCACTTGTAATCAAAACATTCACCGTCTACAGAAAGGATATAATCAGATGTTTTTGTTTAAAAAAATGTTGTTTTTATTTAAAATTAAATTATATAAATTATATAAATTATATGAATATTGTCTGTCCTTTTCACCCTTTTTATTTTTTGTGTAGCTTACACTTACATTTCTTAGTGTAAAAAGTGTGAAAAGGGACAATACTATATCAGTGCTTAAATGTCTGAATTAATTGCAGTTCATATTAAAAAACATCCTTTGACCGGGTCTATTGTGACCTGTGCACGGTCGTGCTTCAAGCTCTTGTTCGGGACACTGCAGCAGGTTCTCTGGATCCTGGGCCACCACGGCTCTAGATCGAACTTGGACTGAACCGAAGCCCAGGTCAGCTCCATTTATGCAGCTTAGCTGGCATGAACTCCAAACAGTCCAGTCTGTCAAGTAGCACTCTCCTACAGAACAGAAATCAGTTCATCAGCAAACCAAAATGCAACATCGCTGTATGATGTAAAAACTAAGTTATTGATAAACACAGTGTCCATAATTAAGAAGTAATTAAGTTTTAAGTGTTAAATTTTAAGTGTTAAGTGCATATCCACAGCCTATTCATGGCTTTGGGAGATTATATCATGTGCTGTTAAAATGTAATATTAAGCTAGTTAAAGGAAAATAACACGTGAATGAAATGGCACACAAATCTTACACATTATACATTCTTTAAAATCAGCATTATGGTAGCCATCCATAATGTTTAGAAAGGCCCTATACAGTGGTTATTAAATATTTACAAGTATTTATACCTATTTCTGGGGGTTCCTTCCAGGAGAATCTTTAAATCAAGTTTGCAAACTGATTTACTAAAGAAATCAAAAAAGCTGGTCTCATTTTTCCTGCTTGATAAAGTGGAAGTCATTGGTGTGTCGAGGAGGCGTTTTGTGTTTATCATTATTATCATACTATGTTCTGGATTATTCTGATGATGTATTTGGGTTTAGACTTTGAGTTCTTCATGTTTTGGTTCTGTGCTTCCTCTGTCTGCCCGTGTGTTCCCTCCCTGTTGCTATGTCTGAGGTTGTGTCACGCTCGTGTCTGTGCATACCTGTTGTTGTTTTTCCTGTTTTACTTTGATAGTCTCTGTCCTGTGTGTAGTGTGTCTGGTTTTGCTTCCCCTTGTCTAGTCAGCTTTGATTAGTCCCAGCTGTGTCTCATGCCCTTGTTATCCCAGTGTGTATTTAAGGCCTGTGTTTCTCTGTGTCAGCGTCGCATCGTTAACGTCTGCTCACCCTCCTCCCTCTGCCTGCCTACTAGTTTAGTTTTTGTATTCCCAGTTCAGTTCAGTTTGTGCACAGCAATAAAGCTGTTTAAGTTCACCTTTTGTCTTTGCATTTTGGAGTCTGCACGCACACAGACCATGACACGTTGCAGAGATTAAGAGCAGATGCTAGATTAGTGAGACATTTACCCACTATAAAAATCAACTTGTCAATCAGGCATTTCTGGTTCATTTTAGTCCTTCAAGGGATCTATGTTGGTAAATTACCCGCAGCTGAATATCATCTCTTACTTTGCACTAAACTCTGCGGCTCGTGGCAGAGACAGATTCAATGATTAGCATTAAGTAACCGCACTAGAACTGACAGGAAAAGCTCAAATAAAGGCTTTTAGAACAATCTGATAAATAATTGAAGTCATCCTCCCAAGAAGTAACAAATGGATATTTTTTACCATCATTCTGAGACAATGTTTCCTGTTATAGTATTTATATATATGCTAATTTAAAGTCATATCCTGAAGGACAACGTCAAGATAGAACTGAAGGTCAAAGCTATCCAAACTATGTACAGAGGAATTTAACTGGATATGACATCTTATCTGGGCTGATGTATAATGTGAAAACGTCCTAGCACAGAACCCTGTGGGATTCTGTGATTAACTATTGTGTGTAAGCAAGGCTCCTTATTTACATACAAAAGTCAGAATCCATCAGATGATGAAATATTTAAAACCAGCAGAATTTCTTTCAATATGAACAGTTTAGTCAGTGTATTTAATAGTGAAGCACATTAACTGTAATACTTGTGTGAATAGTCTTGGGTTTGGGTCCAATAGTAACAGACAAGTTACTGTTACCTCAGCAAGTGACTGCTCTTTATTAACAAAGAGTTGGATTCAACAACAACCTACCTGGACAGGGTACAGTACAGGCTTCCTGCAGAACTATCTGTGTGTTTCCTTCTACTGAGGGCTCCAGATCCCCACACAGTTCATCGTCCACCACACT